TCAAGAAGGGTGTATAGCACCTGTAAGGAGAGATCAGGGTCCCGTTCCTCAAAGCGATCGTAACCGTAAGACGATTGTAACTCCCATACTTTAACATAGACTAACGATAGTTGTAGTGCTCAGCTGGATCCGGTTGTATCATTGCTTCATTAACTAATGTCAACATTAAACCCAAATGATACATTAAATCCTTAATGCATCATTAGTTAATGGCATCATTAAAAACGGTTGTATCAAACACTTATTAGCGTATCATTATCTAATGACGTCCTAATGTAAATATTTTCATTAAATCAGGGGATTCCCCTAATTTTTTCCCACAATTATTTCGCCTGGCAGGTATCAGTAACGTCATGGAGTTGGCTGCTTAGATTTTGTGGTGTCCTTGACATGAATCAATGCTGGAGATAATACTAAAAGAATGTGTTGGAGATAACACACACGAACGTGTCCCTGTCAGTATCGGTGTTATCTGAACGGAATTGTACTTTCCCTCACGCGTACATCAAACTTACATAAAAAGCCTAGATAGATACGCATCATTCGCCCGAAAATAGTCGCTTTCGTGACTTTGATAATACAAATGTAACTTTGAGGTGAATGTACATAGACTAATGAACAATTGATATATATTCAATTACTGTGATGACATCGCATCAGTTATACACAGTATATACAATCTATATTGATAGCATCATACTGTGTAAAACTGATGTGATCACAGTAAACTACCGGACAAAAGAAAGTTATCATTTTTTAGGTAACTGTAACTGTACAACTTAGGTAAAATAAAACAACGCTGGTACAGGTTTGAACCCAAGCAGAAAACTTTCGCCAAAACGCAACATGGTCCCGATAACGAACACAGCTGTCCGAAAACTACGTACGAATCGTGCAATTTTCAAATCATACAGGCTAGGGGACATTGGTTTGAATGCAAGTTCAAGATTGTGGCATAAATACCAGTGATGGACAGAGCAAGCAGTAACAAAAACACCACCACGAATATGCCAAGACTTACGCAACGAGACAGGGCGATTGGTATGGCCAATATGGGGTTTCACAACGTCAATGGCAAATTCAACTTTCTACTGCCGCCAATATGAGGGTCAGCAAATTGATAAACCGCTGACAGCAAACAGGCGGGACCCAAGACCGCCCGAGATCGGGAAGACCAAGAGCCACGACACCGGCCGGAGAATCGCTGGCCCCCGGAACAGATTCGTGACGGCGACGTTTAAAATAGAATACGGTTAAATTGTATTTCCATTGTGAACAAATAATTATCTTCCCACTAAATCTATGAATCCCTTTTCCTTGTCCCTTTTTAACTTTCTTCGAATGTGTCTTGCATATATAATTTGAAATGGTATGAAATATATCATTTATGAATAAGCTTATGCAAATAGTATATCATTATTTGAAATTAATTCAGTTTTATCGTGTTCTGACTATTTTCACCTTTGCTTTATCACTATTGAGGGTAGGGTTTTCGATTCACTAGACCTCGATGAACATCATGTGGTGCGTGTATCGCCCCGTCAGACTTGTTCTGCGGTTACGTGTATCCGTTGTTGCCACGAGTGATTCATACTGTTCGGTAGGACTGCACGGTATTACCGGTATACCGGTATATCGCAATACGGTTTTCAAACGATACGTATTGCAATATTTTTTCTGAGAACCGGTATATTAAGAACATAGATGAAGTTTTTGTGATTATCTTTATGGTTAAAATTACAATTTACACACTTTCATTCACAACAAATGTTTTCCACCGTTATTCAATTACAAACCGGCATACGGTAATACAATAAACTGTATGAAAAACAAAATAGAATCCAGGACTATGCAACCTAAGTTTGAGATTGTTGTTATCAGAACCATTAACATGTATGTGTAGGGACTTATAATGTAGAAAATAGGATCGACATGTACAGTTAGTGTCACTTACTGTCAAACACTTCAGTTCCCAATATATCGCAATACGTATCGCGATACGAGTACCTGAATCGCAACATATCGCAAAACAATTTATTTGCCAATTCACATGTACAGCCCTACTGTTCGGAGGCGCTGTAGCTCCTGCATTACAACGACCATGTAATCTAATCTGGACCGGGAAAACAAGCGCCTTAAAGAATTTGCAATGTCCGCGCCGTCGTAGAAGGAAGACACGCAATGATCGTGTCTGACCATCTGGTCCAATTAAGTCTCCACTTACAACCAAATCCTAACCTGCTTCTCCATGGGGAACCTGCTTATCTATATTCCCAGACCGTCTAGCGATCCAGAGACGTCTTCTTAAACAGAAATGCATTACATTGATACGGGGGCTTCTTTTCTTCAATCGTTCTACTACAAACTGTACTTTACAGCATCATGACGAGCCACCAAGTCTAGTCTTGTTCATTTCAAGCAATCTAAATGTAAAGTACTCGACATATAAAGCAAATTGAGTTCAAATCTGAATGTATCCGCCCTCTCCTGAAACGAAATGAATATACGTGAACATGTACATTTAGGGTTTTTTCATGTTAAAAGTTTCTGACTTTACAAAAGTTCACAATATGAGTTAAATTTATGTCTGAAAGAAATATGTTGATAAGTAGAATTACAAAAATTCCAAAAAGCTAATCATGGAGCGATTACACATGTATGATTTTAGCACAAGACCCTACTGAGAGCTGAATCGTTATAAGTGTAGTTCGATGTATGCATTTCGACTAAAATATACAGCAAATGATCGGAACCAAAACACAGATGAATATATTTAAGACTGACTGACTGAGTATGGTTTTACGCCGTTTTTAGCAATATTCCAGCAATATCACGGCGGGGGACACCAGAAATGGGCTTCACAAATTGTACCCATGTGGGGAATCGAATCCGGGCCTTCGGCGTGACGAGCGAACGCTTTAACCACTAGGCTACCCCACCGCCCCATATTTAAGATTCGTTTTAGGTGTTGGTTATAAACGTAGTTTTCTGTGACGTGACTAACGTCGCCGGGCTACACGTAATGTTCCTACTTGTTAGAGGGCAGTGGGTACAATGTGTGAAGCCCCTTTCTGGTGTTCCCCGCCGTGATATTGCTGGAATATTGCTAAAAGCGGCGTAAAACAAAACTCACACACTCGTCACGCCGAAGATCCGGGTTCGATTCCTTACTTGGGTACAATGTGTGAAGCCCATTTTTGGTGTTCCCCGCCGTGATATTGCTGGAACATTGCTAAGAGCGGCGTAAAACTAGACCCACTCACTCACTCTTACTTGTTAGTAATAACGTAATGCCACTTCTACCTAACTCTCTAGTTTCTGATACAGCTTCTATTTAAACTATGCCATCATATAAGTACCACTAGTCTACATCTACTACTACTACTACTACTACTACTACTACTACATCTACTGCTACTACTACCACGACTACTACTCATAGGCGGATCCAGAGAGACCGTTTAAACTCTCGTGAAGAGTGCACCACCCCACCCCACCAATTTCTCAAAAAGCTGTATCCGCCCCTGGTACTACTACTACTACTACTACTACTACTACTACTACTACATCTACTACATCTACTACTGCTGCTGCTCAGTAGCTTGTAATGCTTTGTAAACAAAGACGATATCACTGTTGATGCCCCCGCAAAGTACACTGTTAACATTTATGCGAATACTACGACAACTCAACCTCGAGCTGTTCCAGCCATTTCTGTTTATTGGCTGTAAATCTACAGCAAGATTCTTGGTTTTATGTTGGAGGTGGTTCCAAATGTGATGAGAGTGCGGGGTTTCATAACCCTGGAGAGGTCGACAAGAACTGTATACCTGTCTGGTGGTCGCCCCCTCTTCCACATCCGATGCAACACAAGTCGTCGAACGATCATGTGTACATCTGTAAATAGCAGCAGGCAATCAATAGTGTAGCTTCCTTTGAGAATTAAAACGTACAAAAATTTAGAGATGTTGAAGTCAGGGATGACTGGTACTTTAGCATGTTTCACTTGTCACCCTAAGGTGCATGAGTGTCCCATCTATGGCGCCTCGATTCGGGTTTAGACCGTAACGTGTGCCAGAAACCTTGCCATTATCGTGAGACTGAATCATGGATTCAGCCTTATGTGGTTGCAGTTTATGTCACCGTACTCGTGGGCGTCATTAAAGTGGTAAGCCTCTAAGGGGTGAGTGAGTATGGTTTTACGCCGCTTTTAGCAATGTTCCAGCAATATCACGGCGGGGGACACCAGAAATGGGCTTCACGCGTTGTGCCCATGTGGGGAATCGAACCCGTGGGGCGAACGCTTTAACCACTAGGTTACCCAATCGCCCCGTAAACCTTTAAGACTGGGCTGTCCTCTCATGAAGCTGACACGTCGTGATGTAACTGGAATAGTTTTTAAACTCAATGTGTTTTGAAACATTATCGTTTCCTTTCCGTGAACAGTGAGTGAATGAGTTTAGTTTTACGCCGCACTCAGCAATAGTCCAGCTACTAGTATATGGCGGCGGTCTGAAAATAATCGAGCCTGGACCAGACAATCCAGTGATCAACAGCATGAGCATCGATATGCGCAAGTGTGAACCGATGACATGTGTCAACCAAGCCAGCAAGCCTGACCACTCGATCCCGTTAGTCGCCTGTTACAAGCATGGGTTACTGAAGATTCATTCTATCCCTGTGAACAGAGTGTCATGCCTTAATATACATGTTGCTACTTGACCCATGAAGATCCGGGTTAGAGTTGATCCTACATGCTGTTGATCACTGGATTGTCTGACCGCCGCCAAATAGCTGGAATATTGCTGAGAGCGGCGTTAAACAACAAACAGTCAGATAATACAATAGCTATACTACTGGGCCTAGATTTTCGAAGCACTTTTCGCGCTAAGATAGCCGTAAGTTAATATTAATGAATGGCACTTACGACTATCTTAGCGCTAAGAGAGCTTCGAAAATCTAGGCCCTGGAATCATAGCGACCGTTGATAAATTTTATGATTTACTACATTTAGTTTATTTAATAAAACAAATTGCTTGACACACACATTACACAACAATTGCGACTGGCATTTGTTATCCAATTATTGGATCCTGATGGCAAGAGAAGATTATGTCCTTGGTTGTATGAAGATCAACACGGAAGTCGCCTTGACTTGGATTACTAATACAGTGACCGCCTATCTTCAAGTTTACAAACTGCCAATTCGTTATACGTCCCCCAATGGACGTTCCAGCAATTGCATTATGAATGGGGTCATTCGTTGGCTGAGATTCCACAGACATATTGATCACCTTTATGTTTGAGATGGTCCCCTTCGCCGCAGGATCCATAACGAAATTGACAATCCTGGGACATGATCCCTCAATTCGAATGTCTTCAAAGCGCATGTCACTGATGTCAAAATGGCGTGTGTTACCAAATGTGTCCAGTACAGCATCATTCGAACTGAAGTGAGTGCACGGACCTTTGAACTTGCAGTAGTCCACGTGGATCACGTCCATGTCGCTGATGCTGACGTTACGCACGTATGCTGTCTCCCACCCTGTCTGGAAGACACCGCCGTTCTGCATCTGCCACAGTACGCACCGTCTCACAGTCATGTGACTCTTGTGTATCTGAAAGATGCATACAATGTCAAGTTTGCCACTGAACAATTCACCACAAAAATGTTTTCTTGCAAAGTGGTAACCCTTTCTGCTTATTCTTAGTGAGTGAGTATAGTTTTACTCCTCTTTCAGCAATATTCCAGCAATATCACGACGGGGGACACCAGAAATGGGCTTCACACGTTGTACCCATGTGGGGAATCGAACCCGCATCATCGGCGTGAGGGGTGAACGCTTTAACCATAAATAAACTTATGCAAAAAGCATATTTTCCATATTCTTAAGACATATCGGCTAAAACATGAAAATATAAACATAAAATTACTGTTCTTCCACTTGAACGGTTTACCAACTTAAAATTGTTTAAAATGTACGAAATATAGTTTTCCTAGAATTATACAGTCTGCAAAGTCTGTTATGGTATTTAAAGAAAGCAATCACTTTTAGTACCTTAATGTTAGCATCATCAGCTATTATGAAGCTGTCCTCCACCAATCCACGGTCTCCAATTCCGATTCCGTCTGAGTTGTACATCCACGCCGCAACAAGGCGAGCATTACGGACAACGTTGTCGTCACCGTTGCTCATGTAGTAGAACTGACTCGGGTCAACTATCGTCACGCCATCGAATGTATTGTGAGATGATCGTTGGAAATCGACAGCAGCTTCGCCAATCCTGGCATCATGCCGAACAAAATTTTCGTTGGAGATGATACCTCGACCGTGAAATTTCACTCGCCCATGGGGTAGCTGAAAGCCCCCTTTGATGTAAGCTCCCGGAGCGATATATACCTCCCTTACGTCCTCATCAACTACTATTTCCTTATGAAGGTCATGGATCCCCGGGCCGTAGTACAGGACATTTTTATCTTGCGGTGAAGGGACCTTTGCTTCAGGTGGGTCAGCGAAGACAAAGAGTTTGTCGACGATGTCGGACGCACCCAGACCGTAGTCGTAATCAAACTCTACAGACATCATACGTGTGTTGTGGGTGACGATGAATGTGGCTGTTTTGGGTCCCGTTCTCTTACATTTGTAATCGTAGCTGGTAGGTTTGATGACACAGTTGTGGAAGTCTTTAGGGGCGTGGACCTCGACCGTGACGGGAGCGCCGGTGAAGGCAAAGGACGCCCAAGACATACTTCTTCCAGATTCTGCTCTAGGGAACTGCGTATGCCGGTGGTCTGATTTGCTGATGTAGACAAACAAATTGTGGTGGTGTCCATTTTGAGAGATGGATACGTGGAACTTGTCTGACGGCTGGATCCCGTGAGGAGAAGGGTACACTATGACATTGGAAGACGTACACTGAACCAGGATGTTCAGTAATAGGAGAACAGACTGAACTTCCATGATCACCTCCCAGAATGCACGTCGACACAGTGTGGCCTTGCTGAGTTCCAGTTTTGTTCAGTGGAAACTTAACCGGGATGTTTCAGATAACCTACATAACTTTAGTTCGTGTAGACAATATATAAACTAAACGATAAACATTGACCTTGCGTGTTTTGGTGATCACAGTTCCACACATTTTGGTCCTCAGTGTCAGCTAAGTTGTTAATTTGTTAATGGTGTTCTCATTCCACCCATAGTTCTTACTGACTCTACACGTGATATGACGTGTGTTGGTGCTACTTGTCAAACATTATATCTATGTCGTATTAGGACCGAAATCAAAAGATGTTGTTCTGTCATAAGTGATTGTTATATCAGTGCGTTAAGACATGGAGTGATCGGACGTCTGTAGAACAAGAACTGGACTTTTCACTCAACCACATGACATCCACAAATGACGCTTGACAGGTGAGCATTCACTCAGTGTCGTTGAATTCATGTACACTTCAGGGCCTAGATTTTCGAAGCTCTCTTAGCGCTAAGATAGTCGCAAGTGCCATACATTAACATTAACTTATGACTATCTTAGCACTAAGAGAGCTTCGAAAATCTAGGCCCAGACGTCTTATATGTTCAGGAATGTTTTACTTCCATAATGGTATGAACTATGCAGTTTTGAACGCATGTGTTTTTTTTACTTTTATCAAAATCTACCAAAAGAGAATGCTTTTTAACAAGTTATGTTTGCACCAATGACGCCACGTCATTCGAAATTGAACGGTCAACTCTGCCATCACATTGTCCACGTGCTTCAGACACTCAGCCATTAGGTGGTAATCCTTTGTCAGGATCGTTCCACACAGAATGGAAATAGATCAAACACAGATAAATGTAGTCAGTGTCTCTTAACATTTGTCTCTTAAGGTAAAAAATTGATGATTGTGACTCCCACCTGAAATCGTTTGATACTGTGCGTTTACTGAATGAGTGAGTAAGGCTGGATTTACACTACGTCCGATTTTCTCTGCGTTGCGTCATGCGTTGCGTCCGAAAAAACGCAAGCAATACATTTTCCATTTAGACAATACACTAGGTGCGAATTTTGCATGCGTTGCGATCCGAAGCGATTTAGATAAGTAGCCCTCCTATTTTTGACGCAACGCAAATGAACTCGCATGAGGAATTCCCCTGATGACGTCATTCCAATAAGGTATTTCCCCTAACAGGTTGACAATCAGGTAAGGTTATTTCCTCATCTTACGATAAAAACACGCGATTCCAATTGCAGACAGGCTGTGTTTTTTATGAGATATTATTTATAATGTGTTTCTGCGCCTGTCTGTGCATAACATATACAATAATATGACAAACCTGTGATAAATTTCATTCTCAGAACAAGCTACTTCAAGATGCTTCTAAAAGGCTTATGGAAAATAAAATTGCCCAGATATTTCATGAGGCTCAATTTGGTTCACGTCAACAGAACCCTCAGAACTATGTTCCCCAGGGAAATCAGTACTGCTCAAATTCTATATATGTGGAATTTGTAATGCCTGAGTGTATGAGAGAACAATGTTGGTATGAAAGTAAATATTTTTTACATACTTTTTAGTTCAATATTTCGAAAACACATAATGATTGATGTTATTTAATTCCCTAATAATTCCCTTATAAGACGATTATAGGCTCCTTCAAATAATCTTTGTTGGTTTAAGGGATGTACCCACCATCTCCGTGTTTTGTTCTCTTCCTCATGCACAGAAACTGCCAGAGATGCTAGGAGTTTTCCTCCATCTTATATTCATCCGTCTTATATCGCAGATGATCGCACCTAGTGTATTGGAAAAAACGCACTCGGTAACGCATGCGTCAAAAAATGCGTACGTAGTGTAAATCCAGCCTAAGTGAGTTTAGTTTTACGCCGCACTCAGCAATATTCCAGCTATATGGAGGCGGTCTGTAAATAACCGAGTCTTGACCAGATAATCCAGGGATCAACAACATGAACATCGATCTACGCAATTGGGATATGATGACATGTATCATCCCAGTCAGTGAGCCTGACCACCCGATCCAGTTAGTCGCCTCTTACGACAAGCATGGGTTACTGAAGATCAATTCTGACCCCGACCTTCACGGGTTGCGTTTACTGAAAAAATAACAATATGTGGAATAGTGGATTTTCTCACTGTCACGTCCATGTAAAAGGGGGCGGTGGGGTAGCCTAGTGGTTAAAGGGTTGGCTCGTCACGCCGAAGACCCGGGTTCGAATCCCCACATGGGTACAATGTGTGAAGCCCATTTCTGGTGTCCCCCGCCGTGATGTTGCTGGAATATTGCTAAAAGCGGCGTAAAACGAAACTCAGTCAGTCAGTCAGTCCATGTAAAACTTGTGGGTAAGGCATTTACACAAGAAGTAGGCATACCCATGGACACCAGGTGTTCTCTCCTATCTTATGGAGTTTCAAATCGGAATGGCAAAGTCAAAACGCAGTAATGTGGCCAAGAAGTTGAACTTAAGCTTTCCCACCTGACATGCAAATAAAGGAAGCGCTATAAGACCGCCTAATCTGTTTCATGTTTTGATCAATGCAGAAGGGTTCAGACTGGCATAAACCTGCCCAGACTGTGGGAAAAGAGGAGTGACTTCAGCTTTTTACACAGTCCACCTTCCCATTATGTTGCACATGCTCCTTTCACCAATGTTTCAAAGTGAGTCAAACGACTCAGAAGTTGTTAAGTCAAGGTCACAACATTAAAGTCCTTTCAAACACGTGAAGGTAGCCATGTGGAGGACATATCCACGTCTGACGCATACGTTACAAACATGATGTCCAAAACAATTACCTGTTTTGATTTGTACCATATTTTCCCGTATTTTGTAGATGTACAATTGACTAGCATTTGCATGTGTTTGTGACGTGTGACCTAGTACCATCGTTGTTTGATACCGATTTAGGAACAAATGTCAATGATATTGAATCGAAAATCGGGTCTTCTTTCAGCAGAATATTCTTATTGGTGTGGAAAATATTTAATGGAGACATCTGTATTTAAGATTTAATGTTAAACCATAGCTTCCAGGTAGATGTTCTGGTGGTTGGTGTTTCTTCGTACAAAATGTGTTGAACCAGGAGGACGGAAGCAGCGATATAGAAAGCTCCATATGTTTAAAACTTCCAAAATCTGCGTTTAATTGAAACTGCTATTTCATGTTGTGTAAGAATGTGCTTCCGGCGGGTTCCACATTTCAGAATAGGAGAAATGATTCTGTGACCATATGAATCAGATATATTTGAGATCTGCATTAAAAAACAAAGGCAAGCCTGCAAGTACTCCATACCGGTCCGCCATCCCGTCTGGAACACGCCGCCATTTTGGGACTGCCAGATAAAATCACGTTGAATGTTAAGATTATCTGAATACAGCTGAAATGAAGCATTCAGTGTATGGCTTTGTCCTTCGAGATACTCATTGAAAATGCTACTGGAACCACTTTATGGCGTGTGGTTACCACGGGTTTTTCAAAGCACAAGGAATACATTTAAAATGTTGGTTGGACAAAGTATTAATATAATATAACCAGCAGCTCTTCTTTTCCCGGCGGAGTGTTCGGGCTCGGAGGGCTTGCAGGGGGCTCATCTTCGACAGGGATGGCAGTCCGGGCGCCCTCTTCTGGTTCAGGGGCAGCAGGCCTCTGGATATCTTGGGTAGATGTAGACGGGGTACGCTGGGGCCTTCTTTGAAGACCTCTACATTTTGACCATTCTGGCCGCAGTAGGCTCACAATCGGTCGCAATGAAATCGCGGGAACGCTCTCGCCGGTCGCTGAAGGCTACCAGTGCGTTCGCATAGCGCTCGTTATGAACTCGCCACAGTTCGCGCACCGCTTGGCTAATGAAAAACTTGACGCGATAACTACGAAACGCGCGGCGCGACTGACCTCCGAGCTACCGGCGAGTTTACTGAGACTTATGCGATCATACTGCGACCAATTTCGCGACCTCACTGCGAGATGGACCTATCGCAGAGGTTGCGCGAGTGTGAAAACCACTAAAAGCACTCGCCAAACTACCGCGACGGGTGCAGAGTGATGGTGATCGTTGGTGATGCTTTTGGCGATGATAGAGAACTCACTGAGACACCACTGCTACCCCACTACAACTTTATGCGAGGTAGTGCGATCGAGGGAATATTTGTCGTTCGTAAATCAGTCGCACAACCGGGGTAAACATGGCATAGGCGGAAGCAGAGGGGGGGGTGCAGGGGTGCGCATCCCCCTTTTGTGCTGAAAGTTTGTTAAATGACCATTGAAACTCGGGTGAAAACGAAGTGTGCACCCCTCCTTTTCTCAATAGTGTGCACACACCCCCACCCCCACCCTTTCTCAAAAAGCTGTATCCGCCCCTGCATGGTATAAGTTCGTGGGTCCAAACAAGATGCGAGAATAATGCGTTCGTAGTGTTAAAGCGCGTTTCTAGACTGGATCCACTCATAGTTCCATAATATTCCGTTAATGATGATAGTAACATGTCAGGTCTGGTGGGTGTGTTTGTTGATTAAAGGCGCCCACAAAAAAATGACGGCAGTCTGTAAATAATCCAGTTTGGACCAGACAATCCCCTGATTGACATCATGAGTATCGATCTACGCGCCCGGAACATTCGTTCCCGTTAGCCGAAGACTAGTTCTAACCAGAGATAAGCATTCCGACTTTGTCTACACTGGGTCATATGTTAATATGGGATCACTTCAGATAAACTCACGAGCCAGAAACCAGTCAAGACCTATTATCTCGGATTCCAAACTATCTCATCAAAACCAGATCAAGCATAGATATCCCATTGTCGTTTACGTCTCAATGACCTGAACGACCAGATCAGCTAACCAGATCTCGTATAGTGTCTGACGGATTCAAAATAGTAAGCTTCGTCTATCTCTCGCTTCAGCAGGATGAACATTTGAAACGGACCAGACGTTCTATAGTCCATGGAAAGAACTGTTCAATTCCGGTCGTTTATTAGACATTGGAGAATTTCTTAGTTAACTTTTCAAAACAGCGAGAGCTAAGATCTGTTGTTTAAAATGAAATCATGATCAAAGGGACGCAACTCTTCATAGCAAAGTTATAGCGTCTTAGCCGACTCAGCCCCCAGCGTCCCCTCAATACGAAAGCCAGCGAAACACTATTCTGCAAAATTATTTTCAAATTGGTTTTCCTTTATAATTTCCTTCGATATGCTCGTGTTTCCATATTATCCGATGATATTTTCTCCACAAGAAAACTTAATCCCGCTGGCGTGTTGAGAGTCTATGATGAAGTCTCCGGCTCCTGAGCTGGTGATGCATTGACCTCCAACTTTGAAGTTGAAAAAGTTCCAGTTAGCGATGTGACCCCCAGCGGAGGTGCCCGCTATTTCATTGTGTAGGTTGTCGTGGGTGGGCTGAGACTCTATGGACCAGTTCTCAAACCGGATGTTAGAAACCGACCCTTTTGCCCCCGTGTGCATCTTGAAGTAGATTACACGGGGACATGACCCCTCGATTCTGACGTTTGAGAATACCATGTCATGGACGTCGAAGTGTGTTGTATCTCCAGCCTGATCAAACACAGCATCGTTTCCACCAATGTGGCAGTTATCTCCCTTGAACGCGCACCAATCCGTGTGAATTATGTCGATGTCGTTCACCCGTACTTTCTGCATGTCCCTACCGGTCCACCATCCCGTCTGGAACACGCCGCCATTTTGGGACTGCCAGATGACAACACGTTGAATGTTAAGATTATCTGAATACAGCTGAAATGAAAAATTCAGTATATGACTTTGTCCTTCGAAATACTCACTGAAAATGCTACTGAAACCACTTTATGGCATGTGGTTACCACAGGTAGCACAAGGTATACATTGAAAAATGTTTGTTCGACAAGGTATTAGTATAACATACAGTGAAACCACTTTACGTTATAACTGAATAACGTGATTCCATTTAACTCTGAAGCAGAGACATTATCTCTGTCGGCAGTGTGTCATGTCGGCACACTATCCCAACTAGAGATATACTGAACTACTTTAGAAACGTATCACCCTATCATGGAATATTCAGACGAATTTTGAACTCAAACCATGCTTGAAGTAATCTGACTATGGCAGATAAACGTGATGCACACCGAGAAGCACGTGCATCCCTGACAGATCATGTGATCCCCTCGTGCTGACAATCACTTTTGCACCTGTAAATGGCGTGAAAATGCATAAAACCTGTCGGCTCATTGATAGATCATTCAACTGTGTACCAAAGTCAAAGCACCTAATTCTAATTCTAATTATTGTAATTTGCTATTTTTGGTTCCTCGTCACTGCCTTTTATATAAGTCATGATATATTACTGGGTTTTTCAGATTATTACTTGGGCGGTGGGGTAGCCTAGTGGTTAAAGCCTTCGCTCGTCACGCCGAAGGCCCGGATTCGATATTCCTCACATGGGTACAATGTGTGAAGCCCATTTCTGGTGTTCCCTCGCCGTGATATTGCTGGAATATTGCTAAAAGCGGGTAAAACCATACTCACTCACTCAGATTATTACTAGTCTGTGATTTTCAGCTATTGGAAGACACACATTGTATATGTCATAATTAAAACTTGTTCTCAGTAGTTAGAAAAGGTTGATATCAAGAAATGTATCCTTGACATCATGACAATAGATGTGATAGACACGTAGGTTATAACACTCATATCATTAATCTTCCTAATTAACTTAAAGTTTAAACGAAACTAGTGAGTATTTTTACGCCGCTTTTATCAATCTTTCAGCAATATCACGGCGGGGACCACCAGACATTGTAACCGAGTAGTGAATCGAACCCGGGTCATAGGCGCGGCGGGCGAACGCTTTACCACGAGGCTACCCCAACGCCCCATAAATCAAACTAACGTACCTTCAGTGCATCGTCGTTTGCGTTAATGAAGGAGTCTTCAACTACGCCGTCATGACCGATGGCAATACCGTCAGCGTTGTACGTCCATGCACCGACCATTTTGACATTTCTGACGGTATTATGATCGCTCTGGCCTCTATAGAAAAATTGCTCTGGGTCCGTTAGTGTAATGCCCTCGAAAGTGTGGTGTGATCCCTTGTCCATGAGAACAAGTGCCCACTGGAATCGTTTATCTTTGTGAGGATAAGTGCTGCCAGAGATCACGCCACGACCGTGGATCTTCACAGAACCGCCGGATGTTCGGAACCCGCCGTCGATGTAGGAGCCGGGAGCCAAATAAACCTCCTTGATATTATGGTCCAGCTCCTTCTGTCCATGGAAGTTGTACATCCCCGGCCCGAAATACAAGACAGAGTTGTCGTTCTTGTTAGGAACGTGTGTTTCCGGGGCGTCGGCAAAGATTAAGAATTTATCTGTAATGTCGCCGTGGTTGCTGCCGTAGTCGTAGTCAAATTCTACCGACATCATCTTTGTGTTTTGTTTAATTACCACTTCGGCAGTCTTACTCCCTGTCCTCCTACAGTGGTAATTGTAGCTCTTTGGTCGAACAATGCAGTTGTGGAAATCGGTGGGAGTATGGATCTCGGCTGTAACGGCCGCGCCAGAGAAGGCGAACGACGTCCATGACATCGACCTATGGGGCTTGGCGGAACTGTTCTCCTTTGTTCTCGGGTCTGATTTCGTTATGTACGTAAAGCTTTTCTGTTTATGTCCCCCTTGACTCAAATACACTTCAAACTTATCCGAAGCATGTAGTCCGTGAGGCTGGGGATAGATCTGAAGATTCCCCACCACGCTGTGGGCCACACACACCGTCAACAAACACGCCAGCAACATCATGTAATGATGAACACGGATCTAAGTTAGATAACTCGTGCATAGGTCGTTATCAACTTCTCTTTCTTTCAAATGTGGGAAAATAAACACCTGCTTATATGACATCAACTGGTTTATCGTTGATTCCAAAGAAATATAGGCGTGTGGATTAAATATGTAACAAGACGTGACAGACATTCACACCTGACACACATTGGCCGGCATGGTCGTATCTGCACTACACATACACTACACCTCCAAACTGACCTCGAGAGAATGATGGGTTTTACTGAGAATTAAGGAAAAGAAATATGGATTCTGAATATAATAAAGCATGCAATATAACAATATAGTTACCAATATGTCCGTTAGGTTAAAATAAATATGGGTGAGTGAGAATGGTTTTACGCCGCTTTTAGCAATATCCTCGCAATATCATGGCCGGGGACACCAGATATGGGCTTCACACATTATACCCATGTTGGGGAGCGAACACTTTAACCACTAGGCTACCCCACAGCCCCTATAGATATGAGAACAGCATGATTAATTGTGAAGCTAGAAATATAACCAATTCCTGGGCCGGGAGGAATAGATCGGATAATTTAACAGTTTACATATGACACTTGACACACTGTGACACCATTTTGACCTCATTCCGTCATTCCGCCTGCAATAAGCGAAGCAGCTACTCACATTTAGCTTATCTCAGACACAATTTTGTCTGTCTATGGATCTGTTTATTAGCAACCACACTAATTTGTCATTTTAATCGTCACCGACTCAGCATGCCATCAAACTACAACTATACGAAATGTTTGATCTGCCGTTGTATTTCATATTGCGAATGCTATTCAAAATGGGCTGCATGTAACTGCGAACATTGTAGTGAGTGAGTAAGGTGAGCTTCACACATTGTACCCATGTGGAAAATCGAACCAGGGTACCCCGCGAACGCTTTTAACCACTAGGCTCCCCACTGCCCCTCGAACATTGTATATGTGTGGCACCAGTATCCCCGATTATTGTTATACAACTGTGACCTCCAGTAGCCCGAATGTCGTACACATTTAGCAGTAACTGCGATTATTGTTATACAACTGTGACCTCCAGTAGCCGCGAATGTCGTACACATTTAGCAGTAACTGCGATTATTGTTATACAACTGTGACCTCCAGTAGCCGCGAATGTCGTACACATTTAGCAGTAACTGCGATTATTGTTATACAACTGTGACCTCCAGTAGCCGCGAATGTCGTACACATTTTAGCAATGTTATTGTTATACGTCCAGTAGCCCGAATGTCGTACACATTTAGCATTATTGTTATACAACTGTGACCTCCAGTAGCCGCGAATGTCGTACACATTTAGCAGTAACTGCGATTATTGTTATACAACTGTGACCTCCAGTAGCCGCGAATGTCGTACACATTTAGCAGTAACTGCGATTATTGTTATACAACTGTGACCTCCAGTAGCCGCGAATGTCGTGCGTATTATTGTTATACAACTGTGACCTCCAGTAGCCGCGAATGTCGTACACATTTAGCAGTAACTGCGATTATTGTTATACAACTGTGACCTCCAGTAGCCGCGAATGTCGTACAAATGTACCCGTGAAGATCCGAGTTAGAATTGAAGTTCAGTAACCCATCGTAAGAGGCGACTAACGGGATCGGGTGGTCAGGCTCGCTAACTTGTCATCGTATCCCAATTGTGTATATCGATGCTCATGCTGTTGATCACTGGACTGGACTGTCTGGTCCAGACTCGATTATTTACAGACCGCCGCCATATAGCTGGAATATTGCTGAGTGCGGCGTAAAACTAAACTTGCTCGCTCGCTCCCACCTTCACTCACTCACTCACTCACTCGTACCAATGTGACTATTTTGAGACCGATATCTGTTTTACAACATGAACACAAGAACTCAGAAACAGCGATCAGAAGTGAGAGTTACACAAAGTTCTTGCATTTCAAGTGCTGAACTTTGACCTTCTACAGTTTATCAAAGGAGTTTTCGACTTGCACATGGCGTTGTCACAACGAGGTTAAAGATAAATTTCACGCATTTTTGTAGAATTAAACTTACATCTCTTACATCTCTGGTATGCAGAGAATATTTTGGAAATCTTTACTTTGTATTTAACAGGGCACTGTTAACGGAGAACATTCTCAAGGTCCATGTTTTGAACATGGATTTATGCAGTAGATTGTATAGAAGTGAATACAATGAAACAGGAACTGAATAAGTACTCTCTTCTGTTTGGTGTTCAAGAAAATATAAATTTACACAATCACATGGCAAAAACAAATATCCATATTAAAGTATTTTAGGCGTAAATCAATGCTTCCTGGGGTACTTATCATCTGAATAGTCGAAATAGTTTTTACACTAATTAAAGCAAATAAAAATCATATTTTTCTTACAGAAACAGAAACCTCGTACTGATAACATTGTATAATCTGTTAATAGTAATGTAATGTAGCTTGTTGCAGTATAGCCTGTTTGTGTGGCTACTGTCCATTTAAAGCTGTCAAAATCCGTCCATCTGCCATTGCCATCATTTTACATTTAATGCAACATAACACCTTAAGGAATTTTTTAAATAGTAAAAGACATTATGAAAAATAAATACGGCTTACATTGTCAGAAATCCAAAATAACTCTGTCCCTTAAAATATTCATTCATTCATTCATTCATTCATAACAAGAAAGTGCGCTAAAGGTGGCGGAAGAAGCCGAGTGTTGTCGAATATGAACTGCCTCGTCTATCGAATCGAGTTTAACGGTCGCTATGGAGTGTTCCGATTGTAATTGTCATGCGCACTGTGCATTTCCGAGGCATTACTTCCGGTCCGGACCACTATGTCTGCCATGTGGTCGTTGTTTTGATTGTTGACATTCACATTAGGCACAAGCCAAGTCATTTCTCATCATGGGAAGAAAGAGAAAGGTACGGTCTCACGAAGAATCCATATGGGAAATAAACGTGGCGATTGAGGGGCACGCCGGTTTCACGAAACCGTTAGCAATTGTCCAATTGCATCTACATGTAGTTGTTCTGTGCAGACGATAGTCTGTAAAAGTGTAATATTTGGTGACGTTTAGAAGTTGTGGTGCCATACCAACGAAGACAGGGTTAAATTAAGGTTTGAAGTATCTTATAAAGCAACGTTGCTTGCTTTACAAAGCTGTTTTTTCTTTGTTGTTGGGGAAGGGGGCTCTGCGGTTTACATCGCGGCTCTCTGCCAGGTTGTTACATTCAGGTTGGGGAAACCTACGATCGGCCTATAAATAGGCCAAACGGGATATTATAGGCCGTTCTGCCTTATTTGCTATTGGCCGATCGGCCATAATTATGTTATTTATCAAATAAATTTAAAGTGGTGCATTTCCGCACGAGGATATTAACATCATTCAAGTTTTGATGTCCTAAGGCTTTCATTCAAACCCTTTTGCGAATTTTCATCACATAATAAAGGAGTTTGGAAATTACTAATTAAATTATAACTCTATAATATTTTTTGACAATTTTCACTGAAAATTAATGACATAAATATCTATGCAAAATTGTGTTCTTAATGAAACATCTTTTCCTGAACATGGTATCAATTTCCATTTTGTCCAAAAACCTTTTTTTTCAAGCTGAGGTGGTCCATTAATTCTATGATCTATAAAACCATTTTGTGCAGAAACTGATAGTTTTTTAAATAATTAGAAAAATGTTCAAATATAGACCGATCGGCCTATAGCAAAATAGGCAGAACAGCCTATAATATCCCGTTTAGCCTATTATAGGCCGATCGGTAGGTTTCCCCAACCTGACATTTTTGTTACCGGTACCTGAAAAGATACTTCAAGCCGAAAAGTATGGAAACGTCTTGTGTGGTCAACTAACTACGTTCAGTAGCATGTACTGAAAGTGAAACCTGTATCACTAGCAACTAACCATGACTTCACCGTTTTCAGGTTACTGTGGTCCACTGAAATTTTTATATGCTTTATGTTTATATATACCTGTAATATAATACAACGTGTCAACCACAATACCCATTCCTTTTCATCTCCTCAGTATCCTCAAAGTTATGAACATCCTTGTGTTTTGTTATCTGTGGTGTTTGTGTGTCACATGATGATTTATTTTGATTGCTATTATGACTAAAGCCGACAAGAGAGCCCCACAAGAAACCCAGAGCCATGTGTGTGTGAATAATAAATGAATGAGTTTAGTTTTACGTTGTTTTTGAGCAATATTCCAGCAATATCACAGCAGGGGACAACAGAAAAGGGCTTCACACATTGTACCCATGTGGAGAATCGAATTGTGTCTTCGATGTGACAAGCGAATGCTTTAACCTTTAGGCTACCCCACCGCCCCGTGCATGAATAACCTGAAGCATGATAAGCTTTCATTAAAGTTTTAATGTTTATCATATTTTTCAGCACGGCAATTCTCGGAAGACACAAGCCATTCATGAAGAGACACAAGATGCAGTTTATAAAACTGCTCCTCACTCCTTCGTGTTTCACAGAGGGAAGGTGGGTGTGACAGTGAGGATGTTGATACAAAACCTGAGGCAAGTGATGGAGCCCTATACAGCCAGTAAACTTCAGGTGGGTCTCATTTAGAGGAATTAATAAAGCATTGTTGATCAGATCTATCAATAAACTTCTTTTGTTTCTCATTTTCTGTTATTTTTAAAGAATTGTTCACAACATTTCATAATTGATTCACGTCATCTGAACATTTCTGCTATGTTAGTTGCTTAGTTATGATTATCTGAATGCTTAAATGCATGGTGCTCAATAATATGTTTACTGCAATAATGGGAAGGAAGCTGTCCCGACATGATGGTTTATCACAACAGTTCAACGACCATGTGACCTGAACATGATAAAGAGGCTACTGAGCTCTTCACCTATTAAAGATCTTTTTGTATGTAAGGGAGGTAGTTGGATGTAAGATGTAATAAATGCAATGAATTGAAATCCGCATTGTTCATTTTATTTTAAATATGCCTGTGTTGATTAAACAGTTTATTATAAATTTTGTCACTTAAACATCTCTTAAATTGTTACTGCCAAAGTTTTCTTGTTGATAAAATGTCTGCTAATAAACTCCATGCTTGAGCATGATAAATTTGTCTAGAATCTTTTGCAATATTTTATGATCACCTTATCCTTGTAAGTATGATAAGATCCTCTTTCAATTTTATTAATGAATTATTAGCAAAAACTCGCATCATGGTGATAATTTTCGTTGCAGGTTCGTAAAAACAACGTTTTGAAAGACTTTGTGAGTGTGGCTGGTTTGTTGAACATTTCTCACTTTTTAATTCTCTCCAAAACGGACAAACATATTCAACTGAGAATAGGGCGTGTCCCCAGGGGCCCTACATTGACGTTTCAAGTGAGAGAGTTCTGTTTGAGCAAGGATGTGTTATCTGCTCAGAAGAAGCCAGATTTAAGTGGGAAAGTGTTCAACCACCATCCATTGTTGGTGATGAATGGATTTACAGGCGACGAGAAAAGCACTCAACTCATAACAACAATGTTCCAGAATCTGTTCCCTTCCATCAATGTTAATAAGGTATTGTGGTTTTGATTCAATGTTTCAGTCATATGCATGATAAGGCATACTGATGTATAAAGAGTGCCCCACATGGGTACAATGTGTGAAGCCCCCTCCATGATGTTGCTGGAATATTGCTAAAAGCAGCTTAAAAACATACTCACTCACTCACTCACTATACACAGTGAAGTTATGGTAGTGGTTAATGTCATAATTAATTGCAGGTTGTCCATCCATAACTGATATTCAAGACAATTATTAATTGTACTGTAATCAATAAATAAATACATGACATGTACGTCAGCACTGATTGGTTTTGAGTCATGTTTGAATATGCTAAATATATAGCTTAAAAATCACCTCTGTGGTTTGGGTTGAAGGGAGTAGCATTCATATTCAGGGTGTTCATACTTTCAATGATTCAGTAATACATTGTCATTATTGTATGATGCAGGTAAATTTGAATAACATCAAGAGGTGTGTGTTGGTGAGCTACAACCCAGAAACAAAACTCATCGATTTCCGGCATTAGTAAGTATCATACCTCCTACTTTGCTCAATGTCATACACCCAAATTGTTGTGTTTGCTTTTGATAGGAAACGGTTAACTGAAGAGAACTGTTCATTTGAATCACATATTTGTAGTCAAAATTTACAACTTGCTTAAGTTTTGGACTTTACTATCTAACTGATGTGGCATTGGAGTAATTGAGAGGGATGTGAAGAAGTAGACTATGCTGGGGAAACTGGCAGTCCGTGTACCTACATGTATAGGCACTAGTCAATTCCAACAAGGCTGTAAATATTTTCAACAAGGAGCTAGTTACTTTCCACAGAACTATTGTTATTTCATACCAGACACCAGTTATTTCCCCAAAAGCACCAGTTATTTCCCACATGGCACTAACTATGACATGTACACGATCTAGACATGTCTGCAAATCGCTACCAGGCCAGGGACCATAGCACATCTCTGAAACACAGAGGCAGTTGGGTAGCATAGTGGTTAAAGCGTTTGCTCGTCATGCCGAAGAACAGGGTTCGATTCCCCACATGGGCACAATGTGTGGGGCCCATTTTTGGTGTCCCCCACCATCATATTGCTGGAATAATGCTAAAGTGGCGTAAAACTAAACTCATTCACTCTGAAACACAGCTGACTTAATTAGCATGATTACTATCGTAGTCTCTGTTGTAATGACAAAGGTTTTGTGTTCAAAATGTAATGGTGCATGCAAAATGATGAAATTGTTACTGAAAGTGAAGAATGCTATTCCCTTTCTTCCAGTACAATCAGCCTGACCCCTGTTGGGTTGACTAAAGGTGTCAAGAAACTAACCAAAACACAACTTCCCGATCTCGGCAAGTACAATGATATCAGTGAATTCATTGAAAGGTGAGGAATTCAGTGCCTGTACCTCTCATTTCTGGCTTCTGTCCCTTTCTATAGACACTCTTTGTAGTTTTAAAAACTTAGTTCTTGAAACCATGGCAACAAATGCCATCTATGTTTCATTGGAACTGACATTGGTTCATAATTAATCAAGTATTCACAAAACGTAACATGTTATATTTGGGATTACACTTTCTTAGTAAAGTACGAATTCTAGTACTTTTCTTAGTTGAACCATAACCCGCTCAGCCACCACGACTTCCACAAAAATGAAAGTCGGACAACTGGTAGTCTAGACTGCGGACTTTGTGTACCCCTCTGATAAGTGTTAATAGGCACGGCTCCCACGGCCGAAAGCTATGATTACACAATTCCATTTAGAAAGTGATCAAATGTAACATGTTATTTTTGTGAAAGTCGCAGGGCTGAGCGGGTTAGGCGGCTGACTTTGTGTGCTGGCGATTAGGAGCCTGACTCTGAGGGTGTGGGTTCGAATCCCAGATGGGTTCAACTCAAAAAAGTACTAGAATTTGTACTTTACTAAGAAAGTGTTATCCCAAATATAACACTTTCTAAATGGCATTGTGTAATCATATTCACAACACATCCAATTGAAATAGTCCAGCTGTCACCATCTCACAAGATCAGCCTGTGACATTGATAATTGTGGTCCCTTTTACTTTTTAATGTGTTGACATTTTCTGTCCATTTCAATAATGTTCAATTTATAGCAAAAGAGAAGCACTGACAACTAGTTGAGAATTATATCCATCAAATGATACAAGTCAGTGATGACTGCTGTCATTGGACTTCCCTTTGTTGTCAGCACAATTTAGTAGTCTCATTATCCCAGACTAGCTTGAATATAGAATGCTAGCTATAAATGCCAAATAGCTTTTTGTTTCGACTTATGGAGTGTTTGGGTGATTAATTAGCAAATTAAGAAATACATGAACCTGAACACTTTGGTTATAAATTCAGCATCTTGGCACAATTAGCATGTTTATCATATCATGAACAGTAACCTTATTCACTGACTCTTATGGAATTGTGATTCAGGGGAGGTAACTTGTCTGAGAGTGAAGGTGAACAGGATGGTCCACACAATGAAGTAACACTTCCACAACAGCTACATGGCCGTGGGAACCTCAAGGCTGGACAGAGTGCAATCAGGTGAGTGACTAGCAGGAGACATATCATCAACAAAGGAGGATGGAAGGACTTGTTGATTATCAAGCGTTTAGCCTTAATTCATGGCGAGATCACCTGTTGTGTGACAATACACTTGTAGGTATCTCATCTTTTCCTGAAACGTATCTCTGAGAAAGGTGTGCACTTAAGTGACAGGTCTCAGCAGTCATGACAAAGATTATTATCCAGCCTCATGTAAGAATGTCGAGTTTTGATTGGTTCACATGACTCTGATAAAATACCATGTACACCCGTCACGATCCGCGATCCGGAGTACAAAAGTAATATTATCCCGCCACGCCTTGGTGACCACGCAAAGTGAGAAAAGCGTGCATCGCCAAGCCTTTAGTAACGTGCGCTGCATTGAGGTCAATCGATCAGCTGTTGTCAACATGGCAGCAAGGAAACGTTTTGCCACAACAATTGAGAATGAAATTGAAGCAAAACATTCGGCTAGATAAATGCGTTATCACATCATGTCGAGGGAAATACAGGGTTTTATCAGTCCCTCGTAAGGTTGTATACAAGCTTACTCGGGACTGATAAAACCCCGTATTTCCCTCGACACGATGTGATAACTTATATAGTCAGTGGTCGAATCATCAGCTCTCAGTGTTATACACCTAATATGGGAGTGACTTCCTTTTTCCCTTTTGAATTAAGATAATGTGCAAAGTTTACAATTAAATACACTTGTACTCAAAAACAGTATCTAACATTGACTCATTTAGTCCTGTGTATCCGTTCTATCATTTCAAATAACTTTGACCTTTTCCCAACCTGAGCTTCATTTTGAATTTACCCATGAAGATACGGGTTAGAATTGGTCTTGAGTAACCCATGCTAACTGGATCGGGTGGTCAGACTTGCTGACTTGGTTGACACATGTCATCATATCCCAACTGCGTAGATCAAGGCTCATGCTTTGATCACAGGATTGTCTTATCAAGACTTATTTACACACCGCCACCATATAGCTGGAATATGAGGGGCAGTGGGGTAACCTAGTGGTTCAAACCTTCGCTCATCACGCCCTAGGCCCGGGTTCGATTCCCAACATGGGTACAATATGTGAAGACCATTTCTGGTTTCCCCCGCCGTGATATTGCTGGAATATTGTGAAATAAATAATAAATAAAGCGAAATCTATCTCACTCACTCACTCACTGGAATATGACCGAGTGCTGCGTTACAAATTCATTTCAAAACACCTGAAGCTGCAAATTCACCAGATTTTCTGGCTATTATAATGATTCTATACAGGGTGCAGTTATAGGACTGGAATATTGTTAAGTGCTCCTATAACATGCTACAAACAAACAAACAATATTGTTATCGTCTATGTGTGCAGACTGAAGGAGATTGGTCCACGCATGACACTGGAGCTGGTGAAGATCGAGGAGGGTCTGTGCGAGGGAGCAGTCATCCATCACAGCTTCATCCACAAGACCCCTGAAGACCTCCTGGCTGATAAGAAGAAGAAGGAGCTCAAATTGTATGTCTGAGATTTACCAATTTATAGTTTTCAGGATAGCAGCATAACCACGTTTAAAGTTTTCGCTCAATACACCAACGTAACCAATGGTCTGGGTTTAATACACCAAACTGCTGCATTATTTGAAGCTGAATTCTAATACCCCCTGTTGTGATATTGTAATTTTGCTGACAAAGGTGTAAAATCACACTTATTATATGTATCATTCCAGTGTATGGGACTTTTCATATATTATTGGTGTGTAGCTCAGATAATTGGGATGAAGAGTTTGTGGACAGAGTGTTTGCCTCTGAAATTCTCAGGTTTGATTCCCATGGGTAAAAGTGTAAACCCCATTTCTGGTGTCCCTGGTGTGATAATATTGGAATTGTTATTTTTATTTAAATGCCCACTCCTTTCATCATACTATGTTTGTTCATAAATCTTGTAGTGCTTGTATTCTGCTTTACTTAGAACATTTTACAGTTTTCCTTGATTCTGACCTTGACCTTGCAGAAAGTTAAAGCAGTCTCGTCAAACGAAGCAGATGCAGAACGTGAAGAAGAAGGAGAAGCTGAAGGCAGAACAAGTAAAACAAAGTGTGGAAGGGATGAAGAGGAAACAGGCAGCAGAGCAGATGAAGGAAAATGGTGAGAGTTGTGTCCCCTTGTGCAAGATTAGTTGGCTCAAACATTTCATCGAGAGTTAAAAGCTATGACATTATAACAGTGGTGAGACTGTAGTTATCAGTTAGTGTTTTATGACATGGCATTACATACACACCTTACATTTCACAAAGCAATCATAGCACTTAGGTGACTCCCATACTTTAACATAGACTAAGATTGCCCTGTGAAATGGGGCCCTGCTCTGATCCCTGGTCTAACCAACCTATGCTTATCATACATCAATCAATCTGTATTTCTTGTATTGGAAGCCACAGGCCCATTCTACATTTACAATGGACTATAAGAGAGTATATACAATGTACAATATAAACAATAACATACGGTTTGGTTATGTTACAATTAAACAAATGACTGTCTAAGACGCATAGCTTTATATACATACACTGCTAGATTTTTTTAAGTTTCTGGATTTATTCGTGACATTAACGTGTTAAATTTATGTACAGTAGGATTCAAATAGTATTTCCATGGCAAAAGTAAAGACCTCAGATCTTGGTATACATTACATTCTAATAAAAAATGGTGTTCGTCTTCAATATATCGTTCTTTGCATAGAAGACATTATCTATCAACTTTAGTTTCATTAGCATATCTGCCAGTTTCAATTCAAAGCCGGTGTGAAAAACATCTAAATTGAGCAAACGCAGCCCTGAATTTTGAAATAGTGAGTTCTTTGAAATCTCACAATTGATGATTGTTTCATTACCAACAAACAATCATCATTAAAAATGGGTTAGCGTCATTTTTCAGATTTTCCTATCCAGGTTGTTATTGCAGATATGTATAACATGATGCAACTTGCTACTTACAGTGATGACTAATATATCATGAACATAAACTTCCTGAGTCAAGAAAAATGCAGTCATGACTTTTCAACAAGTGAAGTGAGTTTTCTAAGAATTAAACATGTTTTCAGGCCCTGACAACTTCTAAGATATGTTCCATCTCCAAGTGTTTCAAACACTAAAACAATAGTGACAAAATCATTTGTGTTCGATTATGAGAAAATGTGAATGATTGTTTGGTGACTTGGTCACTGCGACCAATGTTCGATTATTTCAATTAATCGGAACACCACTAATGACGAAGCTGTGATACGATACATATCCAGTTAATATGGGTGCCATTCATCTGTATCACGATACAGTACGTTTGTTTGAAAAGTTCATAGTTTCTCCGTTCTTGCGTGTTAATCACTAACTTGAAATAGGGGCTTTGGGATAGCCTAGTGGTTAAAGTGTTCACTTGTCATGCCGAAGACCCGGGTTCAATTCCCCACTTGAGTACAATGTGTGAAGCCCATTTCTGGTGTCCCTCGCCATGATATTGCTGGAATATTGCTGAACGCGGCGTAAAATCATACTCACTCATGCCCTAACTTGAATTATGTGTTTTTAAATTTTAGACAGTGAAAATAGCATATCTTTGGGGAGAAACATATAAGCTTGAAGCACCGCGCACATTCTGCTATATAGAGGAGAAAATACTGGGGAATCTGCAAAACCTGGTTCTTATACAGTTTGTCATTATTCATATATTTTATTTCAGTATAACTTGTAATGTAATAAATTATGATTTATTGTGATGCAGGCATTGTTAAAAGATCATTCGCAATACAGTACTGGATTTCTGCAGGTCATTACTAGGTCAGATGCTGTGACTTTGTAGATCGCATATTTCCTACAGAGAACAAACATTACATACAGTGTTTTGAGGACAGCTGAGGCTACAGAAAATAGCTTGAAATGTTACCCAATATCAGTTATACAATGTTTTATGCTGAAAAAATATATGTAAAAAGTTAGTGGCAAAAGGCGATATCACTGATAGACTATGAGGCCACAGGCTATGTTATTTTCTAAGGGAAATAGATTGACTGACATGACAGTATTTTGCAGTCACAATAAAAATGGGCAGGCCAATTTAATTTTGTGTTTTACAGAGCATGTCAGATCTGGAACCCACTTCCATGATCCAAATTGAATAATTTTCTAATTTACCTTGGCAATGATATCTTGACTGATCTGATCATATTTGTCATGATTATAATATGTCAGGTAATAATATGTATCTATTTTTGGCATGGAAAGAGAAGTTTTCAGACACTTCAATTTTGTTTTCCGTTTGTTACATGCCATTGATTATCTCCCTTAGATGATGAGAGCGATGATGATATTGCCCACTACAGGAAAGAGGTTGGAGCCAACCCTGACAAAGGTGGGTTATCTTGATCTTACACAAGCAATATCTACTGTGGAACAGAGTTTTGGATAATAAAGTATTATTGAAACTGGCTTTATATGCCAGCTTCACTCTGATCTGCCCTTCACTTGATTATTATTATCAATATTTTGTTTTATTTGGGATGTAAGGGCAGTGTGGTAGCCTAATGGTTAGAGCATGCATGTTCGATTCTCCACATGAGTACAGTGTATGAAGCCCATTTCAGGTGTCCCCAGCTGGAATACTAAAAGCAGCGTAAAACGCAACTCACTTTTGATGGCACTAAACAGGAGGGACCTGAACGAATAAAATTTATTTTTATGTGTCCTGATATATTGCCTCAGCCTACATCCCCTCCCCTTCCCACCATTCACTTACTCCTGTATCTGTTGTCAGATCTGTTCCCCAGCCAGGGCAAGAAGAGGAAGAGGTTGGACAGTTCCGATGTTCCCACAAAGAAACTGAAGAAGAGTCCTGGTAAAAAGGACAGCAAGCTGAAACCTAAGAAAGTAGCTCCACCTGGCTTCAGCAAGAAGCAACAAGTGGCACAACAGAAGAAGAGGAAGGAGATGCGGAAGAAGATGGGTACGAAGAAAGAGAGTCAGCCGGGACGGAAGAAGAACATGATGCCGAGGAAGACGGGACCGGGTGGGAAGACAGGATCAGGCGGGAAGACAAACAAGGGGGCAGGAGGGAAGAAAATGGGGACGCTCAAAGAAAATGGGAATGTCGAAGAAAACAGGATCGAAAGGAAGCAAGGTGAAAGCTGGCTTCAAACCTAAGAGGAAAAGTGGAAGATAGCCGATTGTCATTTGTGGGCAGGGGGGATTGTTAGCTTGTTTTCATGTGAAGATGCACATAGAGATATTTGAACATTCAATAAGTTTTTAAAAAGGTTTCAAATGAAAGAATTGTTAAAATTGTTATTTGAGGAGTTACTTAAAATAAGTTAGACAGCATTACTTGATCATTTTTTCTTGCAAATTAATATACTAAGATAAACTTTATTAAGAATTTTGAGAAACTGAAATAAAACTGAAGGATACACTGACAGTTAAGCATCAGTATTGACTATAATGTAATGAGGACATATTGGGATCTTGATAACTGTCATGTAGTAATCCCAAATGGTTACAATTGTTTTCATTGTCGCTTTGCCTCATTGATTGTTTTGATGGAATACATGGGAACGGATAAATTTTATATTTGAACCATATTGTTGATATTTCTGTTGATGTTGCCCTAGTTAAATCGGCAAGTTTAGAACTGTAACTTGTCACTCGGAAGTCCAGGTTCAATTCCCCTCATAGGACACAATGTGTGATTGCTATTTCTGGTGTCCCATACTGTTGATCACTGGATTGTCTGGTCCAGACTTGATTATTTACAGACCGCCGCCATATAGCTGGAATATTGCTGAGTGCGGCGTAAAACTAAACTCACTCACTCACTCATTTCTGGTGTCATCCATTGCTGGAATATTACTAAATGCAGCATTGAAGCATATTCTCCCACTCATGGGTCGGTGGGGTAGCCTGGTTGTTAAAGTGTTTGCTCGTCTTGCAGAAGACCTGGGTTCGATTCCCCTCATGGGTACAATGTGTGAAGCCCATTTTGGGTCCCCCTGTGATATTGCTGGAAAACTGCTAAAAGCGGAGTAAAACTAAACTCACTCACTCATTCATGGTGACAGCTTGCAATAGTGTCCAAGAGTGTTGATCTTTGCTCCTGGTTTAAATCACTGGATTGTCTGGTCCAGACTGGATGTTTTGCAGTTTAGCCTTGCTTCAAGTCTCTTCACAATGTTTCAAATATTGTCTGTACATATTCTAAGCCTGTGTCTGTTAAAGACAAGCTTCATGTGTCGTTTATCTTGCCTATGCTGCTCTAGACCTATTACCACATCTAGACAATAGATACATAAATTACCCAGTAATGTACCATACACTTAATTCAGATCTGAACACTATAAGGTCCGAAGATACCTTTATCAAACACATTTTTCATAGGATTTCAAAGAGTTGTTAATTTAGCAAATGTTCTCAGTCACGTGACTGCAGCTACATTTTGTTCAATGTACACAGATGTTCCATGGGCCACACCGAAATACTGAGTATACCTTTATGTTGTGTTCATTTGACTTCATGTATTGATATTAAGCTAATGCTGAGTGGTTCAGCCAGCCAAAGCCTAACTTGCAGGTTACCACAGTTGTTTTCTTCAACCACGAACATGCCAAACTAATGAGTCTTTAAAGGCATTAGTTTTGCTGATGAAAATGCCATTACCTCGGCAGACCAACAGATCACTGATCACGTAGTTGACGAAGCTGGAGTAGCCACTGTTGCCGCAACAGGGTTAGGGTGTACAGGCGGTGAGTCGGACAATATGTTGACGCGTGTATTGTTCAACGTCGACAATTTGGTGGAGAAGGCGTCATGGTATGGGTAGACATCACATCTCATGGTCGGACGCAACCTGTCATTGTCAATCTGACAGGTCTGCGCTACAGGGATGAGATAATTGCTCCTCATGTGCAGCCGTTCATTCAAGGACACAGACGTAACTTCACGCATCATCAAGGCAAAGCCTGTCCACAGATAATACAGTGTTATATGAGATTTCCTGAGACAGCAGAACATTCTGGTACTCCCCTGGCCAGCTGTTTTTCCGCACCTGTCCCCTATCTAGCACGCTTTGTGTCGTCTGTGCGTCGTCGTTGTCAAGCCTGTATGAACGCCAATGGTGGACACACATGATACTGAATTTGTGAACTAACTATTGACACAAGGGTGTGTCACGATGCCCAGTGTCAAATCATACATATTTCGATATTATCCCGTCAGCAGTTAAACAGTGATTAAGGAAAACACCACAAATCATGTTATTATCTTTTTGTATTTAAAAATGGCATAACATCAAATAATACACAGTTGCTTTATTCCAGTAGTATACTTGTAAGTCTCGGCTGGTCAGTACTTGGAACACTAAATACACGAATCCACGTCGGTAGGACAAGATCCAACCTTGATCTCAGTTGGCAAACCGCTGGCTGTGACCTCATCACAGCCGTAAAATTCCAACACCAGGCTACTCAATTTAATTTTACGCTGATGTCATGTTTCAGACAACGCGGTTACCGCCCCTACCAGTAAACCCTGTGAGGTAAATGTGTGTCACCGGGTTGCGTGATGGGATGGGAGTTACGATCATCGTAGCACTAATAAAGTCTTAGGTCTATGTTAGAGAATGGGAGTTACGATCATCGTAGCACTAATAAAGTCTTTAGTCTATGTTAGATAATGGGAGTTACGATCATCGTGGCACTAATAAAGTCTTTAGTCTATGTGAGAGTATGGGAGTTACGATCATCGTAGCACTAATAAAGTCTTTAGTCTATGTTAGAGTATGGGAGTTACGATCATCGTAGCACTAATAAAGTCTTTTGTCTATGTTAGAGTATGGGAGTTACGATCATCGTAGCCATAAGAACGTTTAGATAAAGTGGGCCCAGGACGAAGTTAAACACCATTCCGAATAAAGCAATACACAATCACCTTTCGCCCAACTTATAAACTGATCATAATGAATAATTCTTTTCAAAACCATGTTCGATCATTCACACGTGATTTCGAACTTAGACCACTAATTACTCTCGCAAGTCATGGAAAATTTAAGCATAGGCACCATCTGCAATGTTAAAGTTAGACTAAGGTTTAAATTTTGATAGTAACAAATAAACCCATTTAGATTGAAAAGGAGCAGGTTAGATGGGGGATCCTAAATCTGGGGAAATCTAGACTTGCTTCATTTAGGGCTTTGTCATTACAGGGAGGGCTTGGCAGTAGGGAAAATAATGTGGTTCAGGGACTGTGAGACAGACTATGTTAAGTACGCAGGCCCCCAACCGGACACGCAACCCGGTGACACACATTCACCTCACAGGGATTACTGGTGGGGGCGGTGACCGCGTTATGTCTGAAACATGACTTGAGCGTGAAATTAAATTGAGTTGCCTGGTGCTGGAATTTTACGACTGTGATGAGGTCACAGCCAACGGTTTGTCAACTGAAATCAAGGTTGGATCTTGTCCTACCGACGTGGATTCGTGTATTTGCAGTCCGTTTAAGACAAAATGATACCAATGAATTGCAATCTAACACAAAAACAAATAGACGTAAAAGAATCAAACCAAAGCGGACTGCATTAAACACAACAGACCAACTCTAGAAAAAAATTGCATAATTTGTGTCACAAAAATAAAAAAGTTGTTTTAGAAACTGTCATCATTTATTTGTGCGTTTTCCCAGTTTGTTACAAGGGCGCATTGGCTACTAAAGGAACAGCGCGAAAATTTTGTCTCAAACGGACTGGAGTGTTCCAAGTACTGACCAGCCGAGACTTACAAGTATACTACTGGAATAAATCAACTGTGCATTATTTGATGTTGTGCCATTTTTAAATGCAAAAAGATAATAACATGATTTGTGGTGTTTTCTTTAATCACTGTTGACAGGATAATATCGAAATATGCATGATTTGACACTAGGCGTCGTGACACGCCCTTGAAGAGATCTGGTGTCAATAGTCAGTTCACAAATTCAGTATCATGTGTGTCCACCATTGGCGTTCACGCAGGCTTGACAACGACGACACACAGACGACACTAAACGTGCTAGATGGGGACAGGTGCGGAGAAACAGCTGACTAGGGGAGTACCAGAATGTACTCACGCGCACTTTCTCAAAAAGCTGTATATCCGCCCCTGATGTATCGCAGACTTATCAGACAGCCTTTGACAATGACAGGTTGTGTCCGACCATGAGATGTGATCTTCCCCCATACCATAACGCTTTCGCCACCAAACTGTCGACGCTGAACAACGCACGCGTCAACATATTGTCCACCTCACCGTCTGTACACCCTAACCCTGTTGCGGCAACAGTGGCTACTCCAGCTTCGTCAACTACGTGATCAGTGATCTGTTTGTCTGCCGAGGTAATGGCATTTTCATCAGCAAAACTAATGCCTTTAAAGACTCATTAGTTTGGCATGCTCGTGGTTGAAGAACACAACAGAGGTAACCTGCAAGTTAGACTTTGGTTGACCGAACCACTCAGCATTAGCTTAATATCAATTCGTCACGATATGGCTGAAATATTGCCGATGTGACGTTAAATCTTAACTCACTCACTCACTTAATATCAATAAATGAAGTCAAATGAACACAACATAAAGGTATACTCAGTATTTCGGTCATGTGGCCCATGGAACAATTGCGTACATTGAACAAGATATACCTGCAGTCACGTGACTGACGACATTTGCTAAATTAACAACTCTTTGAAATCCTATGAAAAATGTGTTTGATAAAGGTATCTTCTGACCTTATAGTGTTCAGATCTGAATTAAGTGCATGGTACATTACTGGGTAATTTATGTATCTATTGTCTAGAATTGGTAATAGGTCTAGAGAAGCAAAGGCACCGCAGATAAACGACACATGAAGCTTGTCTTTAACAGACACAGGCTTAGAATATGTACAGACAGTATTTGAAACATTGTGAAGATACTCATGTTACATATTACAAATACCATAGAAAGTTAGCTCGTCATGCCGAAGAACAGGGTTCACTTCCCCACATGGGTACAATGTGTGAAGCCCATTTCTGGTGTCCCCCGCCGTGATATTGCCAGAATGTTGCTAAAAGCATCAGAAAGGAAAATAATATGCGGTTGAGAGACTGTGAGACAGACTATATTTCTATTCGAGAAAAAATTCAACTGATGGTAATTCAAGTGAACTATATATTGATAAACAGCCCGCTCTTGTACCTACTGTCGGTCAATCGGTTAAACAGCCCCGCTCTTGGACTAGTTTGTCTCACAGGTACTAGAACTGCATTATCTTCCCTTTTTGTAGTGCTGAAGCTCTATATGAGGCAAGTCCACATTTCCTCAGGTTCTGAGACCATCTCAGTGGTCTCCTTTTCAATTGTAAATTTCAAAGAAATTACTTGTTTCTATCAAAATTTTATATATTCAAAGACGAAGCATCAGTCTTCTCTTAGACATTCTGTCGGTCAATCGGTTAAACAGCACCGCCCTTGGATCTACTGTCGGTCAGTGGCACCGCCAGTATTCCCATTACAGCTTATCAACACGGTTGTGTTATGTTGATCTGTCGGGGGAATTTATTTCCTGACCATAA